GGCGGGGCCTCGCTCCCCACGGTTCCCACGGCCAGCTTCACTGAGGGGGGAGCTCGGCGGGCGGCCAGGTGCTGGGAGCCATAGGGAAGCTGAGGTACTGGGGGTACTGGGAGGCACTGGATGCACTGAGCATGGCTGGCTGCATGCGTGCCAGCCACAGGCCCTGAGGATCACGTCATCATCCTGGCAGTAGGTCCTAAGGGATGTGCAGAGCAATGATTTGCCCATCAGGCAGTGGGGTGCCTTGGGCTCTAGCCACAGGTGGCACTCCACAGGCAGGGGTGGGCTGCGATGTTGGGGTGTTTGGTGCTGCATCGCTGACAGGTGAGTGCTTAAGCTCCTGTCCAGCATTTTGTGTGAACAAGTCAAGAAATGTGGCCCAATGCAAGAACGAAAGCTGTAAGGTTGGCACTACTGCAACTTGCTGTCTTGCAAATGATTGCACTGACAAATAAAAGTTACAGCTTGGTTTTTGGCATTGACAGTTGATCCTGGTTGTTTTGGGAGCCTTGATCAGCTGCTCTGACTCAAGTGTCCATGTTTAGGGGAGCAGTGGCATGTTCACATCAGGGATGCTGGACTCATCCCACACTGATTTCCTGTCCTTTCGTTGTTGCCCTTCACAGTTTTGCAACTGACTGTCCTACAGGTCTCAGAAATTTTAGTGGGATCAGCAAGCTTAGGAGCAGTCTCAGTATGTTTCCAAATTTCCTAAACTGCTTATAGCTATCCCTTTATGAGCAACATAGTTAAGAAGAAAGGGTTTGGTTTTGTGCCTTTTAAGTGAGCTTGAAGGAAGAAAACTTCCATCAAGATAGCACGATGTGAGCCTGTGTTCACAGGGACTCCCAAACTGGGGGTGTCAGCAGTCATTTCAAGGTGCAGTGAAAGAGGTCCCTGCTGGAGTGTGTACCCTTTGATTAACTATAATTATATAGATCATACTGATCACCTTGCACCTGGATACCTTTCAATTCCAGTATTGCCAGCTGAGAGCAGCAATCTTCAGTCTGGGAATAACCTTCCTGCTTCCAAAGGAGCCTGAGGCTGAGGGACCCCAAACTCTGGTCTTCTGCTGCTTGCTGTTTCTTACTCCTTTTCCTCCCAGCTGCCCCCTGCCAGCAGCCCAGCAGCCAAAAAGATCTTTATCCCTGCTATGGACAATGTCTGGTTCAGTAGATGATGTGCCCTGCATGAACTTTGAAGCCAGCACATTTGCAAGGAGCCTGTGCCAGCACTGTTTGCAAGCCGCAGGGGTTCACCAGCACTCTATCCAGGTGAGCTCCTTTATTCATTAAGGGCCCCTTTGTTCCATGTTGGGACCTCATGTGCCTTTGTAGAGATTGAAATCTCTAAGACAAAGGCTCAACCAGGCTTTCTAGATGACTTCGGGTGAAAGTTGCAGGGGAAAGAGTCTTCCCAGGCATGGGAATCCATCACTGAACCATGTCCAGGCCAGAGCTGGGAGACATCTTAGCAGGGAAGGGCTGAACAGATTGTACGAGGGGCTTGATAGATCCTGGAAGGGAAAGCAGGGATGTTGCAGATGCAAACCTACAGGACGGAAGAGGGGACTGGCAGAGGAGGGACCCACCCTGGATTAATCTGCTTGATGCCTGCTGGCATTTACAGCCTGCCTCACCTAAAATATGGTCCTGGTGGGTGGCCCTGTGGCTCCCAGCTGTTGGCTTAGGGCCAGGGCTGAGTCCTGTCCCTGGGGCAGCTGCAGCGAGCTGTTCCCGAAGGGGAAGGCAGGAGTGGAATAAATCTCTCAGAACTTTGGTCTCTGGATCCAACACAGTCCTTCAGCACAGGGATGGACACACAAGCTGCTTGGCTGCCTCTGACCAGGCAATGGCTGGTTTCATGTTCACAGAGGGTTTCGTGTTGTTCTCTGTCCTCCAGGAGTGACTGGCTTGATGTGATGAAATAGTAATGAGCTTCCCTCTCTCGCACCCTCTCCCTCTCTGCCCCTGGCCCCGGGCCCTCTAAGGTTACCTCAGCCCTTCGTTTTCGATCTGCTCAGAGCTGTCACCTCTGAATGAATCCCAGAGCAGGCAAGATGCTAGAGGGAAAGCAGCATAGGCAGCCGGCTCTTTGGAGCCTCCCCTGCTGCTGCTCATAGAACCTGCAGGTAACAGGGTTTGAGGGATCCCCAGGGCTGGGGAGGATGCTGAGACACCTACAACCCGTGACAGAGAGAGGCAGGGGCTGGGGCTACATCATTCTCTGCAAAAATCTCCCTCTGGGCTCCGTTGACTCTCCCTGGGCTATCCGGGTGGCAAGGGAGAGCAGCTGCCAGCAGCATCAACATGGACTTGGCGGGGAAGCTTCCCTGAGCCCTCATCCACGTCTGCTGTCTCTGGGATGCCTGCAGCATCCAGCTGGGCCTCTCTGGCCTCTTGAAGTAGGAGAAAAATCTGAACAGTGGGCTTGGAGAGGCGTCAAAAGCCCCAGATGCCAGGCTGCTTTTGGAGGAGATAGAAGAAGCAGGCATTTCTGAAGAGCAGCCTTCCTCCTCATCCTCGACATGCTGACAGCAGCATTGCACCCCCTTCTTCCTCACAGGAGCATGCCGTGGAGGTCGCAGGATATGATGCCAGCAGCAACACAGACCCAGGCGGGCCCTGGGACACCCTCTGTATTTTAGCCCCACAGTGCAAGGTATACGTGTGCATGGGCCCAGAGGAGGAGACAGAGAGGTGAGTACTAGCCAGGAGCTGTGCGGCTCCAACGACCCCCTTTGGTGGGAAGAAGGGAGGAGGGGGAGAGAGAAGCCAAGCAGGGGGAAATAAGATGCCTTCTCCCTGATGCTCTGCACACCCAGTGCCTGAGAAAAAGGGCTGAGCAAACCCCATGCCATGCCCTCTAACCGGGTTCCTCTTGGCTGTCCCAGGAGAGGTCAGGGGGCCACTGAAAGAGTCTCCTTCCTCCTCACTGTCTCTAGAGCAAGGCTGGTGGTCCCAGGATGGGCTCTGCCAGCCTCTGCTCATCCAGTGGAGAAAGATGGTGTGGCTTGGGCCCCTGACGCTGCCACCCACCCCTGAGCCCTGCAGGCTGTGCTGACCACCAACTGTCCTCCCTCCCTGCCCCACAGCTGGCACAAGAGCAAGGGATATCCCCCACTCAGCCCTGGAGCTGAGGCTGAGCACAGAGAAACCGGCACCAACCCCAGCACCTGTGCTGAAGCCAACTCCATGCTTGACAGGGTGAGATGGGGATCTCTCATGGTTTGGGTTATTTTGGTCTCCCCAGCCCCTTCAGACCTACAAGACCACTTCTGCTGAGCACATTCAGAAGGTCCCGAGATGCAAGTGGGGGATCAACTGAGACCCTTAGTCCCCACAAAGGGGGCTTTCCCCATAAAGAGCCCATGAGATTTGCTCTTGGATTCCTGCATGCAGACTTTCCTATGTTATTTCTTGCCATGCCCATTGATGTTGGGCTGGGGTCATCTTATGTTCACCCAGCTCCTTTTCTGGTTCCTTTTTACCAGCATCTTTGGGCTGAATGGGCTGTAACTTCTTATATAAGCTTTTACTCCCGTTCAGCCCACAAAAGCCATGGGTTTGCATTGCAGAGATCTGCCCTGTCTTGTCTCTCAGGACAGGGAAATGACCCAGTTGTGGGACAGCACTTTGGGACTGGGCAAACGGAACATGATGAGCTACATGGGCCACAAGCAGGCGGTGCGGCCACAAGCCCCACAGGCAGACAGACCCAGGTGGGTTCAGCCCATTCCCTCTGGATCTTGGGTGAGAACTGAGGCCCAGGACTTTAGGAAAAAAATCTGCCCACTGAAAGCAGGTACATTTGGTTTGCTCCTGTGTGAGATCCTAGTTCTGGTTTGCTTTTCACCCGGGGATCTCTGAAGTTCATGGCAGATCTCTATTTAAATTTAGCATCTTTTTACCCAGTTCTGGTCCCAGGAGTCATTCAACACCCCAGTGGGCACCATGCAAAGTGATGAGTCCCAGAGTCCATGAGATGGCATCTCTGTGTGTTCTGACCCTGAACCACGGGTCTCCCGAGTGTTCTCTCTCTGCATGGTCTGGCATGCCCTCAACTTGCAGTGCTGTGTCCCAGCACTCCCACCCTTCCTGGAGGGAGTCTGGGTTTTATCTCTGCCCTCCTGGACTGTTTCTAGCTCTCTTCCGAAGACCTGTTTTGCCATGGATGTGGTGGCATCCCACGTCGCTAGTGCCTCCCCCAGTAACGGACTTCTCCCCATCCCAGAGCGCCATCCTGCCAGCCAGAAGCCCAAGGAGAGCTGGCCAAAGCACCGGAAAACTGACCCTCCCTGGGTATCCACCCCACCGCGTGCCACCACCAGCTCTTCACTGGCCCGCAGCAACCTGTTGGGTGGCGATGGGCACCTCGCCGGCTCCTGCATTCGGGAGCCCCACAGGCACCCCAGCAGCGGGAGCGTGGAGGGGCGGCATGGGCTGGAGAGGCAAGAGTACACAATGCTGGCAGACCTGCCCAAGCCCAGGCGCCTTGGCCACCAGAATGCTGTTGACCGCTGTGGCTTCCGTACACTCAGCCCTGGCCGGGTGGAGGTGGAGAAAATATTTGGATGTGAACGCAGGTGAGAAGGAACGGGTCTCCATAGTATTCAGCAGTGGAGGATCCCCTCCCTATGCTGTTAGGGGCCCTCACCTCCGAGTCACCGTGCCTCAGGGAGAGAGTAGGGCTAGATGGCAAATCTCAGCTTTCAGCTGTGCTTAAATTTCCTTTAAAGAAAGGACTGGGTTTAGGCTCAGCACCTCCCAGCCTGGGGAACCTCCCTCATCTCAGCACACAGTCAGCTGAGGCCATTGGAAAGGTGGAGCAGAGCTCTGCCATTGGAAGTGGAGGAAGCAGCCCACCCTCCTCATCCTCACAGCCACCTCCTGGAAGCTGCAGGATGTGCTGCAGAGCAGGGCAAGCCATGGAAGCGGGGAAGGAAAGAAGTAGTCCCCACTCTCAGCATCAGTAGTTCCCCAGGGATCCAGAGTCCACTGTAGGAGCTGCTCAGAAAAGGATGGGGGATGCCAAGAAGTACCCAGTGCTGGTTGGATCTTGGATGGAGAATCAAGAATGGCTCCAGCATTGGTGGCACAGGGCAGGAAGGAATGTATGGGGATGAGGGAAGTATCCTGGGCAGGTGAGTGGGGTGTGAAGGATCAGATGGAGGGAAGCTTAAGGAATAATGTGAAGAAGACATGGGTCAGGCAGCAGGACACAAAAGCTGGGGTGGTTGAAGCAATGGGGATAGGGAAAGGCTATGGTGTACACTGTGTCTGGGGCAGGCAGAGGTCTGCAGGGGCAGGCTTAGGTGGAGCAGGGCCCACAGAGGCTCTGCCTTCAAGCTGAGCCTGGTGGCAGCTGGACAAACTGTGTGTGCTTGCAGGAAATCAGAGACCCTGGAAGCCTTCCAGGCGCTGGAGGAGGGCCGTGTGGACCGGCTTGATGGCAAGACCCCAGTGCCACCCAGCAAAGGCCATCTGGTTCGGAGGCAGTCCAGCCCCAGCCTGCCCAGGGAGGTGAGGCTTGGCTCCACAGTGGGAACCCATCCCAGCTCCTCAAGCTGGGTTGCTTTTTTGTCCCACATCTTCCTCTCTTTCTGCCACATGCTTCTCTCTACCATTCCCCTGCTCCCCCTTCCCTCTATTCCCAGCCCTCCCTCTACCATGGACTGGGACTCTTGGCTCTTAAATGGTAGCAGCCCATTCACCCTTTGGGTGCAAGAGGCTTCTCTTCAATACAGGCTGGCTCTGTGCACGGGGATGCAATTGCTGTCTGGAAACTATTTAACCAAACCATTTCCCTGCCCTAACCCTGTCTTCTTCCCACTCACCAGCATTTAGTTCTTTTCAGAGGACTCTCTGCTCTCTCTCTCCTGTGTCTCTAGGGTCAGCGGCTCTCCTGGCACCTTGAGCAGCGCAGCAAAGACCCCAAGGAGCCCCCATGTTCCCCCAGCCTGGCTTGGCACCCCGAGAAGACCACCAGGAACCGGGGGGACCCCCTGCGCCCTGCCAGCCCCAGCTGGCTGCTGGAGAGAGGCAGCCAGAGCCCACGCTCTTCAAGTCCAGCCCACCGGTCAGAGAAGAGGGCAGGGGAGCCTGCAAGCCCTCCCTGGCTCTCGGAGAAAAGCTGGAGGAGCCGAGGGGAGCCAAGCCACCCTCTAAACTTGGAGAGGGGCCGAGCCACCTGGCAGGCTGGGGGTACAGGGCAAGCCCTGGAGAAGAAGAGCCGAGGGGACTCCCTGCACCCTGCAGGCCTTGGGAAGGGTTTGGATAATAGTGGGCTGAGGCGGTCGGGGCCACTACCACGGTCTCTGAGTCCTGGGAGACATACAGAGAGCACGTGGAAAAGCCAAAAGGAGATCTCCTCTCCCAGGCCAGTGTGGGGAGCAGAGAGGAAACAAGCAAAGCTGGGGGAGCTACTGTATCTCAGGGGGCCTGGGAAGCCATCTGAATGCAGCTGGCAGAGCCTCCGGGAAAAGCTGCCACCCTCCCCCCCTGGGAAGGGCACTGGCAGTGACTGGAAAGGCAGAGGCAAACCTCTGCGCCCTGTGAGCCCAACACAACCACGGAACCAGGACTGGAGGGGTCGGAGGGATGCCCACCAAGCGCAGGCATTGGAAAAGGACTGGAAGCACCAAGAAAAGCCTATGTGCCATGCAGACTTGATGCACCATCAGGAAAGGGACTGGAAAAGCCCCGCTACATGTCTGGATGTAGGACCACGGCTGGATGATAGTTGGAAAAGGCCTCAGAGTCCAGCACAGCAGCTGGAGGACGAGTGGAAGGGTCCCAAGCACACCCGAGACACAAACAACCCAGAAAAGTCACTGGAAAGCGACTGTGGGAACAAGAAACTTCTCATTTACCATGTGAGTAGAGCAGGAGCCAGAGGAGATAAGGACCTTTCCAGGCATAAAACTGGCAAGCACTAAGTGGGTGGGTCCCCTGGATCCTCTGCTTCTCCGCACTGCCTGCCTGGTACTGGGAGGAGGGAGCATGCTTCCTGCGCTGGCTGGTGCCAGGAGGCGAATGCTCAGATCTGGGAAAGTGAGGTGGGAACTAAACCCCTGTGGCTTTAGCTTCCGCTTTCTCCCCCTGCAGCCCCAGCTGGGTGGAGGTACCTTCCCGTCCCAAAGCAGCACCGGCTCCTCGGGAAGCCCACAGCCACATTCCAATGCCAGCGAGAAGCGTAACAAGGTAGGGGCAGCTGCTCTTCCCTGAAGGTCACTGTGGGCAGCACCTGGATCTCCAGCACTTGAGCAGGGTTAGGGTGGTGCTGCCTTCCTGTGACCTCCTGGGCACCATGCTCACTAAAACCCCCCTGTCCTTCATCCTTTGCCCATTTCTCAGGTGGGAAACTGAGGCATTTTTTTTAAAGCCAGAGAGGGGCAAGCAGTAGACCTGGAACTAAAATCTCAGTGTAGCGGCTTTCCTTCCCTTTGCTATTGCCAGTGCTATGATGGCAGTGAGGGTTTTACAGGGATGAAGCAGGCTTTAGTGGCATGAAAGAAGATATGGTCAACTGTGTTGGTGTTCCTGGAACACCAAAAATGGAGTGGCTTTGGAGGGCTGCAGAAAGTGTCCCAGGAGCCCATGTAGCTGGCAGCTGTGCCCAAGTCCCTGCCTCTGTACCCCTCTGTGTGTGTCAGTTGTCTTAGCCAGTTGTTCCCTGCTAGGGTCTGGCTTTGTGCTTTATATGAGGACAAACTGCAGCTAGGCAGGAGGCTCCCAGAGGACTCCGAAACTCAAAACTCATGACATCCCTTCCCTTGCTTCCCTGCCTCAGGCCAGAGAGGAGCCCAAAGCCCTGAGCTCCTGCTGCACAACTGGGGCTGGTTCACACATAGATGTGGATCTATTCCAGGTTTCTTGAGCACTGAGCTGCAGGCCAGGCACCTTCGCCTTGCCTTTCAGTGAGAAGCATCACCTCGGTGTAATTGCACAACAGAGCCTGGCATTTCATGATGGGCAGCCCTCTGCCCCTTTTCCTTCGGGACCCTCTCTAGCAATTCCCCTTCCTGCTGCCAGCTGGCTTTCTGGGGACACCAGAGGCCTCCCTACCACCTCTGCCAAGATTGCAAATCGCTGCTTTAGGTGTTCATTGGGGGGGTGGGGGATAGAAACAAGCAGCTTCAGGAGCGAAGGTGAGGACCTGCCTGTGCTCACACACATGACGGGGCTGCTGAAAAAAACCTGCCTGAAAAAACAAATCCTTGTCTGAAAGAAAACCCTGCCTGGCTAAGGGCTGGGCTCCCGGCGGTCCGTTCCCGGGGCAGCAGCGGCTCAGCCCATCCCTCCCCGGGCTTCAACTTTGCCCGGGCCCGGGGGAGAGAGGGGGAGGCGGCTCAGCCCCAGGGCCGTCCCCGGGCCGTCCCGCCGCTCCCCCT